GTTCCTATCACGCGATCGCCTACTTTAATTGTGTCTCAAAACATCACAATACTTATTTTCGTTACTACATCGTACATGTTACGATCGTTTACTCTACTTTGATTATATTTAATATTGTATTCCTATTCACAGCAAACGAATTTATGGTTCGTTATACTCTGGACACATTTTTTTCACTGCATATACATCCATCTATTCAGAATTGAAAAAATTTCTGCACTGGTCAGCTAAATTAAAACAAGCATACAATACGGCGAAAAAAATAATGAGAAGCGTTTCTGAAATGCAAACCAGCTGTCGCTAGGCGAGCCTATATGCAGCGGTTGTTTGGAGTCGACAACCTCGTTGTGGAAGTTTTGTTTGCAAGCAACTCTTGTCATGAAGCTTTGCCAGTCACGACCGAGGCAGGTTCATGCAGACATTTCAATGGAAACTTGGTTGGGAAGAGAATTGAAACGCCAGAGTTAATTTTTTGACGATAAAAAATTAATTTCACATCAAGAGTCAGGTTGTTTAGCTAGTCACGACCGAGGCAGGTTCATGCAGACATTTCAATGGAAACTTGGTTGGGAAGAGAATTGAAACTCCAGAGTTAATTTTTTGATGATAAAAATTAATTTTACATCAAGAGTCAGGTTGTTATTTGCAAACCTTGGGGTCATTAAATTTGAATTTTTTGTGGGGATGAGTTTCATTTCTTAAATTTTTTTGAATCCCGCATGAATTTGAAATTTGAATTTTTTCCCATATACCTTAGGGCGGCCGGTAAAGTAGTTAATTATCGCTGATAAATTGCTTACTCAAAGGAGCTGTCACTTCAATCCAAATAAAATCATTAATTGGAATGTCGTTTAATTACAATACAAAAATTTCCATAAAATGCTTTTTCGATTATTGAAATTAATGATAGTCTCCGAGGCTACTTTTCCATAACTTCCCTAGTCGGTACACTAAAATTTCAAGAAACTACTGCGTGCTTTTAAGAAATATTGAGTTTCTATGAAAACTTTAGTGAATTTATCTTGTAATTAAACCATCGGCCCATTCCACAGCAGGTCATGAGATGATATGCTCATTATGATGAATAGAGATATTCTCATTATGATGAATAGATATCCTCATTATGATGAATGGAGATATTCTCATTATGATGAATAGATCGAGATACCCTCAAAGATGATGAGTACTCCTTCATTATTATTAACATTTCATTATTTCCTACCTGTTACGTCATGGAAAATTCCCGCGTGTGCGCCACGATGTAGAAGTTTAGTTCTTCATTTCAGTCCGTTAGCAACAGTGAATACGAGAAGGAAACTGGATTCTTTACATTCACTACTGTCGAATGTGGAAGCAGAAGCGGGATGAACTACTATTAGCTTAAAGTAATACCTTATACTAATAACCTTCGTCGACCAGATTGGCAGGTAACTTTCAATACCGTTGAATATCTGAGCATTTTAGTTTAATTTTGCTCCTAACTGGATGATTACGCACTAAAATTCAATTCGCTGTTATACGATAAATTGTAAAATTAAAAAAAATATGTTATACTTATTGTTATACGTATAACGTTTTACGTATAACGTTATATACGTTAAAAACGTAGAAATATGTTTTTACGTATTGTTATACGTGAAAAGTACGGTTTTAGACATATCGTAGCTAGGCCCGCCACGCAAAGAACCATCATCACTAATACTCCAGTGTTGACAATTTAAGGTCATAAATGTCAGTGTACTCTTATGCGAGCACGGCCCGCTGATATTAAACGGTAATACTTACTTTTCAGGGGACTTGTAACAAACCATAAATCTTGAGCAAAGCGCCACCGCAGTCACGTCGTGCATGCAAAGAAGCCCCAAAATAATATATTCGCGCACGACTAAACTTATGTAAAATGAAGCGATTTGTTAAAAGACGCTGCGGGTGCCTCGGTTTACGGAAGCTCCTCCCTTGAGAACTGCTATTGGAGAGATGCGTGAGCATCGCTGCTAAGGATGCCGTCTCCCACTCATGCACTATAAGAAAGTACGTTTATTAACAGGCGTTGTGGTCACGATTACCAGTAGCGTAATAATAATTAGGTTGATATGTGCTTTTTTAAAAATAACCCGGGAATTTGAAAATGCACGTGACACGTAATTTTTGACTGCATGTATCGCAGGTATAGACAGACACTTTCAAAACGTAAAAGGCGTAAATGAATCGCCCAAAAATTATTAAATGAGCGTACAAATTGTGATATGTTAGTTCGCCGAAAGAAAAACAGACAGTTACAGGAAAATATAAACGACACAGGACCGTTCGAGGAATTACTCGGCATAATATTTTTGGGCATTGCACTATAAAGTGTCTGCGACCAATATTCCCCGGTAAATTGATTTTTTAAAATAAGGTTGTTCAAATTAACCGTTTGAAGTTAGTTGTAGATTGACTAAATGTAGCAAATTACTTGATGACGTTTATTTTTAAAAAAGTAAAACATTAGTTCCTAATTTTAGAGCCAGATTTCAATTAAATTTTGGTCTGGAATAAAAAAAAACACAATTTATATGCCTCATCGCAAAAAAACTTACGATTTGTTTGCACTATCAATATTATCACTAGCAATTCAACTAAATATAAAGATAAAGGAGGAAAAGACAATTTATTCATCTACCCGTACCTAATTGGCAGCTTTTGTTAAAAACGAAGTGAAGAGGAAAAAATTCCATGTTTATATTTTAAATCAAATTATAATAAAAAGTCATTCGTAGGACAGATAAATGGAGTAAAAATCAAATTCTCGCATCCTGAGCATTGCCGATCGGTCATATTCTCTCGGTCATTATTGACGGCCGGTATATTAATGATGTCTTAGAATCACACCGCTAGAAGGGTATCAATTTATAGCAACAGGTATAGATGAGAAATACATCATATAATATAAAAAATATTATAAAAATTGTACCGCTTCGACTTCGGCTTCGATTGCGGAAGGCATAAAAACACTATACGGCATTGTCATAAAAATTAAATGTATATTCATGGCGCGAAAAACTCCCCTAATTATAATGGGAAATAAAAAATAATTTGCAAAAAATTAAAGTATTGTCATTATGCATTATTATCAGGGAGATTTTATTATTTTTCTTTTTCTTTTTCAGAAATAATAAATCGGACTTTATTTTTATATAGAGTTTCAACAGTTTTTCAAGTTTTCTAAAAACTTCCTTTTCAATTACACTTAGGCGTCGAATAATGATTCTGGATAAAAAAGACACGATCGCAGTTCTGAAATAAAAATCCATATATTCTAACGTTTCGGCTATCTACACTTTAGCCATCATCAGAGTAAATAAGATGATAATCTGGAAAGAATAGAAATTCAGATAAGAATACAGTAAATATCAGATCAGATTTTTACGGTTCATTATAATTGATGATTTTATGAATTGATGAGAATGAAGAATGGTTGAACCAAGAACCAAGAGTATTTCCCAGCTTTCGTCAGAAACTGCAGTATCTTGATCAATTTATACGAACACCAAAATTTCACCAATAATGCTTTGAGAAAGACACAAACGAAAGTCAACAAACAAGAAAAGTTAATTGGCCCTGGACCTTCCGTTGTCTATATAATTTTTCGAAGTGATATTTTTCATAGATTTTTGAAACTGAAATTTAGATTTTTCGTTTAATAATACAACAAGAACGGTAAGCGGCCAAGAACCAAGAAACGAAATGTACAATTCGTGTAATATTAATGAAGTAAATCCTCTTTAAAAAACAGTAACAATTCCGAATACACATGAAGATTTGTATCATCGTAGTTAGTTACAAATGTCAACGGAAATTCTACTAACACCAACACCCTACAAGATTTCTCAGTGGGACAGTATGGACGCTTATAAGGTGTGCAATCAAATTCGACTGAAGAGAACATAACACCTAAATTAAAATTGTGTATTTTATCCCGAAACAGGCAAAGAAATTTAGATCCCATGGGAAAGGGGCGGTACACACGCGTCAAGCCCCGCCCTCCTCCGAGATGCGGAGTGCCTGCCTCGGTCGCAACGAGGGCAATAGGCTTAGTTAGTGTTGCGAAGCGCGCCGGGCTCAAGTGATCCATATTAACTCTGATCACATAGGAAGCTTTAAAGCTTTTGTTTGTGTCTATAAGCAACTTCAATGATTAACAAATGAGAGATAGATTAAGATCGAATACTGTGTTTACCAACCTATTCTAAGTTGTCAAATAGTAAAACTGTACGTGCGGTTGCCGCTGCTCATGACACTCGTGTTGCGTCTCCAGTGATACACCGAACTCAAAGAGCGATTGAGCAAACTTATGATAGATTTGTAAAAGTGATTTTAAGTGACAATGAGTCACTGTGGAGGACACTTCAAAATATTTTCGAGGGCTAAGAACTAGGGTCCTATTTTACACTTGAAATGTCTATGCTTAAAGAAAACCTGCAATGATTCCGAGCATAGCTATTTACTCCATAATTGAAATTAGTGTGAAGTTTGACAGAATAAATTTTAATTGAATTGAATATACTTCGGTTAGCATAATTTAACTATTGCTAAATTTGTGAGTTAGGTTTCAATGGAATGGCAGCAGGAATATTTTGATCATCTTTAGAGGCGAGCAATTAATTTTCAAAATAATGTGATAAATAAACATTATACGTATAGATAATTTACCACTTGGAAAATAAACTCCTGTAAATTTCAATATTTTTTCTTTCATTTCTAACACTTTGGAAGTAGTATAATGATATTTAATTCTATTTAAGAAATCATTTCTTCCGAGATGACTTTTTAATATATCGAGCTTGATAATTTTAACAAACATTGGTTAGTGAAACAATGACTAATCTCAGAGTTGTTGGTGAGAAATTTGTGATTAATCGTAAAAACGGTGGCACAGTCGAGTATTTTCCAGTGAGTGGTAAGGAATAACAAAAAAATAAATAATATTTCCTTCATTTCATGCTCATGGCACATGTGTTCCTCAGATTTCCCTGTAGAAAATGTATCTTCTTGTGGATTACCAAACTATCAGTTAAATTAAAACATAAAAATATAAATGAACGGGAACAAGGAAAATTTTACTGACATTCTATCTTGAAGCGAAGAAATTAGTAACAAAAAATTATGATTTTTACGAGTGAATTTAGGCCGTAAAATCACAATAGTCAGTTTCAATAACTGTAACTAGTCGTCGGCGGCTCCTGAAACCTAAGGTAAGACATAGCTATTTTTAAAATATGAATAAAATCTACCTACAAGATTAACGCTTCGCTGCGTTAGTTAAAAACGAGTGATTTTTCAGGTGATCTTTCCAATTCAATTCTTGATAAAAAATTTAATGAAAAAAATTAGGTTGTGGTTTTCCGAACACTTGCTAAGTTCTGATTTAATCATAAGCTTAATATTTGGGAATAGAAATAAAGTGGGTACCTTATTTGCTTGTACTAAGATAAAACTTTCAAATTGCCTCAGTCGTTATTCATTGAAAATATTTATTTACTGCTATTTTTCTGATCATAATTATTTTAAATTACTATCTTACTTATGGTTATGGTTTAACATACGTTAAATGTCCGCATAGATTTTTAATCAAACCTGAAATTTTATTCAGACGAATATGAACAAATAAATTTATTTTGTACAGAAGTTATATTTTGGATAAAATCGGTAGATTGAATAAGTTACTCGGATATTATTCGCAGTAAACAAAGATTGGACTGACTTAAATACTATTTTCTAATTAATAACAAAATTTTCATCGTGATTCAATAAGACTATTTGACTGCGATCAATTCCACCATATTAAGCAAACTCTTGTAAATATTATCCGAGCTAACAATTACCAAAAGCAATAAAATGACTTAAAATAACAAGACTACACTTGGCGAAATCCGGAATTTAGCATATGAAATCCTCACTAGTATTTGTGGAGAAATCATTTTTTTAAGTTGGGAATACTTTTTAAATACGAAAAAAATTAATTGATTCAAGTCCACATTTGCTACATCGTCATGTTTTAGCGTAATGCCCATTCTAACGGGCATATACTGAATACACAGAATATATACAGAAAAATATATATAATGAATAGGTGTCTAAAGTATTGCTGGACAATAATTATTAAATATTATAAAGCTGAAATGATATGGGAACTATCTCACAAAAAATAATTGGAGATGAATAACGAATTTTCGCAGCTATACAGTAGTAATTTTTCAATACTAACATAACAAAATGACAGATCAATATTAAATTATATGAATTAGAAGTGGGACGTCACACATGAAATCGTCACTCATCGAATTGAGTCGTCACTCATCGTCAATATAGGAACAACAATAGTACGGTTCAATTATTTAAATTAAAATAAATTATATTAAATGTCAAGTGACAAATATTAAAGGTAACAAAAAGTGGTGTAAAATAACAATTAAAAAGCTTACCTTTTTGTGTGCGATGCAAATGCTAAAACACAGTATATTAAAATAATATAGATACAACGTAATTAATATTGTATGCTCTACAATAACATGAATTACGTTCAAACTATCGGATATAAAACAATTATTTGTTGTATTAATGTTGTTTTTTCTGTTCCTGGTGATATTTAAACAATTTCGAAACAATTTCTAGGTTTGACCTAGCTGCATGATGGTTTTAGGCGGAATGATAATAATTTTTTTGTTTTTCACACTCAGAGTGGAGAAAAAATACGTCGTATGCGTATCCTATAGTTCATGTGTGTTGAAAAAACCCTAACGCTGTTCGCTAGATGCGTAATCATGAAATTTTTAATAACAAGATTGTGGTCTTCGGCACCTAAATGAATATTAGTAGAGAATAATAAAAACGATGGACTTCTCTTATTTGTGAAGCTTACACGTATAATTTAAATATAACACTTTATTGTCATTAATCTAGCATATTTCTTGGTCAATTAAATAATGTCATACATCGTATTAACCGCGTATTAATTTTTGAGAGAATGCAATTTATTTCCACTAAAAACCATTAAAAATACCGAAGTTTATATAACGGCCTAAATACTTCAAGAGTAAAAGTGTTCATAGAAGCCTTTCCACTAAAAACCATTAAAAATACCGAAGTTTATAAGAAACCTAATTCTTTAAGAGAAGAAAATGTTCATAAAGAAGCCTAAGAAGGACTAAGGCACAGCATATCTATAGCGCTACTAGCGCCATAATAATCAACAGTCGACGGTATCTGAAGGGAGCCATGCAAGGGACAAGTTCAGTCTAAAGTCTTCCTGCAATGCTGACTAAGCTATGACGTCATGATCTCACGCCTCAGCCGCGCTCAAATCATGTTTTTTTACAATCGGTGGCGTTCATGTGAACAGAAATTTAGTTGATGTTAACGACATAGAAAGTGAAGTATCATACCATAGAATAAGGGTTTTTCGGGGTTTTAAAGCCAAACCCATGGTTTGAAAACCATAGAATAAGTGTGCGCGATTCTAGTCTCGAATTCAAGAACAAAATCAAAGCAGACGCACAAACTGCTTTCTGGCATCTATAATATTTAGTGTAAGCAGATAGTATATAGGTAGTTATGCATAGATATTTCGCCTATATGGCTCTCATGGTAATATTTCAATCGTTTCTAACAAAGTTAAATTATAGGTAAAATTAACAAATGTAACATTAATTAATACCAAAATATCTTCTATTTGGGTATTAATTATCTATGGGTATCTAATAATTCTCCGGTCTTCAATGAAACCTGCTAATATCTTCTCATGCCTAAATGCTCGAAATGCTAAATATTCTCTTCAACAGATTTTAATAAAAGAAACGTAGAAAATTCAATAAGGAGCGTAAAAACTCGAAATATTATCGTAATTTGTCATTTACACAATCCTAATTTATCATTTACACATACCACCACTAATTACCACTTTTATCATTTCAAGATTTTTCTTTCATGAATCGCTTAAAATTGCCAGTCAAAGCATAGACATTCCATATTTTTCTTTAATTTGAATCGCTTAAAATTACCAGTCAAAGCATAGACATTCCAGATTTTTCTTTAATGAATCGCTCAAAATTACCAGTCAAAGAATAGACATTCCAGATTTTCTTCCATTGATCGCTCAAACTTCCCAGTCTGAGATTAGACATTCAAAATTTTTTAATTAATCGCTCAAAATTACCAGTCTAAGCTTAGACATTCCAGATTTTCTTAAATTGATCGCTCAAAATTACCAGTCTAAGCCTATGTACATTTTTCTTTGATGCATCGCTCAAAATTACCAGCCAGTAGAAGTATTGAGTTCAAGGTGTCCGCTCGCCCGAGTCGAGATGGAGGCGGATATTTTCGTGGCAAGGCATTTCCTACCAAAGCTTGACTCATGACTTATGCCTGATACAACATTGCGAAACTTATACGGCGCCTCAAAACTCAACTTCTCAGTCACTTCATTAGGTCAAAATTTGTCCCGTTACTTGTCGGTCTCACAACACGCATTGCATCTTTATTGCCTCGCATGGAATCACAAGTGTCAACACTCAATTAGAAAGTCAATATTTTCTTCTGAAGTCAATATTTTAGAGAAGAAAAACAAATTAACAACGAAAAACACGAACAACTTTCTTTTTATCAGCTCAAGCTTTATATTTCTCATTCCAAGTGCCATAACAATTGGCCCCGTTTTTTAAATTGTTATGTTTAGATGAAGATCAGCGGGTAAAATATATAACAATGTCATGAATACAAGCATTGGTTCAGTAACAATTCATTTGAAGCCTCTTTGTTCGAGTACTTACATATAAATATTTCACACTCAGCTTTAAGGAAAATGTTTCAATTATGGACTTGAAGCGCACAACCTCATCATTTATTGACAGATATAATTGACTTGATTTTAAATCTACACACGATAAGTTACCGTGTGACATCGAGCCAGCCTTTTTTAATTTTCAATTAATAATAATCCATTAAAAATTTCATAGCAGTTATTTAGCTGGATTTAGCAAGCATATCAAATCAGTGGGATGAGAACATACGTTTAACTTGCTTGCAATATACCATTGCTCGTGACCAGTCTCGTGTAATCCACTATCCCAAGTTATAATGAAACTTTCTCCGAGTGGAATGAAAATAATGCAGTTCATATCATGTTGCTATATAATATAAGACATCCGAAGTCTTTCTAGCACTTACAGTATGTACATAAAAACTGTAAGACGTGGAGCGTAATATGTACTTGCAGTAACGAAGCACTAGCATGCATTTCAGAATGAGTGATTTTATCCAAATGTGGATGCATATTTTGCTCATTGTGACTCAGTTTAGCCCGGCGTAAGGGCATATAAATGCTATGCTTAAAAAAGTGTACCACTATTATACCAATATGACCTATTCATTTATATCGTGTGCCGCCCGCTCGTTGAAGCAGTATCGTATCGCATACCCCGGCTCGTAAGTCGTAACAAACAAGAAAACATCAAATTGTAAAAGAAAATTTGCCACAAATTACGGCACACAACTATGTATAAATCGAAACTTTTAAGTTACCAACTAAGCTCTGCGCATGTATTGCCGTAATTCAAAATATTCTGAAGTTGAACAGAACTCGAATTATATCGATGAAATGATGTCCGTCAGATAGAGACGAAAATCCCATCTCTATTCCAACAGAAATTAACATTTTCATTAAACTTCAATCAAACTTACACAACGGAGGAGGGAAGTTTTGAAAAAAATGTTGAACATAACATGATTCTGAAACCCCATAATAACCCTGTGACAAAATATGAAAATTTGCTTGGAATCTAGTCAAATGAATCAATACGATACCCGATTCGAGGTCGCGCGATATGTCATTATTTACTTGAAAAATTAACGACATTCCAACTATTTGGGTTAAAATAAAATGAAATTATAACATTCTTAGAAATCAAATTAACTTCTTCATGGTCTTGATGCAGTCAAAACCATCATAAATTAAATTTGAAGAGCTTAAAGGAGCGATTAATGTCGGAGCGAAGGCTGTAAACATCCTGGACTGCCGAGTCAGCGAATGTTTCACTTGACCTCACTTAGGACCAACTTGCTCAAGTGGTGCAAGAAACGGTGCTCTCAATATCGCCCACGACATGCCAAAGATTGGAAATAATAATAATGTTTATTTCACGTATATATAAACGAATAACATCGATAAAAATATTGAGCGGTGGATTGATTGACATTT